CCTATTATAAATGACTCACATTATTAAACTTTAAAAATTATTGAGGTAGACAGTTTATTGCCAGTTGAATAATATAAAGTAATGAGCAATGGACACACCATTTGGAATACTCATGTTGGTGTGCTCAGCACATTCATTTTCATGATACGCTGTGATAAATTGAAAAATCACAACCCATGCTACTTAATATTGACTATGAGATATCATAGCACAGGGTCAAACCCTTGGAATGTCAAATGATCCTTCCCCTGCAGACAGACTTAAGGGGAATTAGATCATAATCTAAAGATTGCTGAGTGATCTCAGAATCAAAACAAAAGATAGGGATTAAAAATTCAAAGGGTTTCAGGCATCAGGAAAATAATGTAAAGGAGCAAAATGGGTTGGGTGAGAACTGTGGTGACCTGGGAAATACATCCTACAGGGAGCAGTTGCTACTTAGCTCCAGCTAATTTTTGTACTGTGTGATAGTTACCGTGTTGCCAGGTTCCTGAGCTTTGAATGTTAACACCTAATTCAAAAATGTGTAAATTCTGCAATACTCTTTCAATCAGCAACTCAAATTCCAGGAATTAAACTACGTAGCTTTGAAATTGCATACTTTGAATGCGCATACCTTAGAAATGATGTAAATGTTAACTTATCTTTTGCAACATTGTTTGAAACAGCAAAATATTTAGAAACAATGTCAATTTTTATCAGCAGGGGGAGGGTTAAACAAATTATGGCACACCCCAACAATGGAATACTCTTAAGCTGTGTTAAAAAAAAAAAAGGCTAAGGAAGCTCTTTGTGCATTTACATGGAGTAATATTCAAGACATATTATGAAGTGAGAAAAGCAGGTGCAGAACATTCATTTACATCCTGTTGTTTGTGTAAATGATGGCAGAAATATACATTTTTCTCACATATACTTAGAATATCACTGGAAGGAGATAAGAAATTAACACTGGTTGTCGCTGAAGAGGGAGAATGGAAGCATGGGGGACAGGGTTGGTGTAAGGACTTTCACAGCACACCCTTTGATACTTTTTGAATTCTGAAACAGGAAAATAGATAGTTTATTTATGCATACTACATTAAAAAGAAAATGTCTGTAAAGATACACATGTATGCAACAAACTACCTTAACAGCAGTTACCTCTAGAAGGACGGATTGGGGAACAAGGCAGGGTCTAGGAATTTTTTGCATTTTTATCATCATCATCATCATGTACTATACATATAGTTTCTTGTGACTGCCATAAGAAATTACTACAAAGTAGATGGCTATAAAGAACAGAAATGTATTCTCTCACAGTTCTGAAGGCTAGAAGTCCAAAATCAAGGTGTTGGCAGGGCTGCACTCCCTCCAAAGGCTCTGGGGGGTAGTCCTTTCTTGCCTTCCAGCTTCGGTGATTTCCAGGCAAGGGTTCTTGAGCTGTGGGTGGATGACTTCAGTCTCTGCCTCCATCTTCACAGGGTCTTTTCCTTTGCCTTCCCGTGTCTTTTCCTCTTCTGTCTTTTATAAAGACACTTGTCATAGGATTTAGGGCTCACTTGGATAATCCAGGATGAATTTATCTTGAGATTCTTAAATTTATTATATTTGCAAAAGCCCTTCCTTTTTTTTTTTTTTGGTATGTGAGCAAAGTTTATTTGTGATACGTTCTCATGCAAGAGAACAGTCCTAGTCAAGGTGGGTGAGAAGGGCATAGGCACTCAAAGACCCCTTTTCCAAGTAAGGTCACAGCCATAGGTTTTAGGGGTGAGGACATGGACCTCTTTTTTTGAGGGCTTCTTTTCAATCCACCAATGTTACTCTATAGAAGAGAAAATTTAGGCTGGCAGAGATTAAGGAATTTACCCAGGCAAATTAGTTCCCCTCTACCCTAGAGCTTTGCCCACTTGAGAAGGGCCACAGATTTTGTAAAACCTTGCGCACAAAAAGATCCTGTTAGGCTCTTATTCTAGTACAACTGGTTCCTGCTGGCCTTACATTTGTATGACTAAAGGAACCTCCTAGGACCCCTCTAGGAGGGCTTTTAGTTTTAGGTAACCATCATGAAAATTATATTATATTACATCACATCATAAATTTATGGCTAACTGTCCTATCTTAAGGACATAGATACTGGAGAATTGAAACCCATGACCTTTTTTAAAAAACTATATTCCCTATGCTGTACTTTATATCCTGTGAAAACTATATTCCCTATCCTGTACTTTATATCTTTGTAACTACCAATTGATACTTCTTCATCCCTTCACCTTTTTCACCCAGGCCCCTGGCCCCCCTCCATTCTGGTAATCATTAGTTTGTTCTGTATGAGTCTGTTTCTGTTTTGTTTGTTCATGTATTTTGTTCTCCAGATAACACATATAAGTGAAATCATATGGTATTTTTCTTTCTTCGTCTGACTTATTTCACTTAGCATAATACCCTTTAGGTCCATTCATGGTCTTGCAAATGGTAAAATTTCATTCTTTTTTATGGCTGAATGGTATTTCATTGTATATATGTACCACAGCTTTTTAAAAATATATTTTATTGATTTTGCTATTACAGTTGTCCTATTTCCCCCCCTTTCCTCCCCTCTGCCCTTCACACCCCCTCCCACCCACATTCCCCACCCCTTTAGTTCATGTCCATGGGTCGTACATATAAGTTCTTTGGCTCCTACATTTTCTATACTATTCTTACCCTCCCCCTGTCTATTTTCTACCTATCATCTATGCTACTTATTCTCTGTGCCTTTTCCCCCCTCTCCTCTTCCCACTCCCCTGTTGCTAACCCTCCATGTGATCCCTTTCTGTGGTTCTGTTCCTGTTCTAGTTGATTGCTTTGTTTGTTTTTATTTTTGTTTTAGGTGTGGCTGTTAGTAATTGTGAGTTTGCTGTCATTTTACTGTTCATATTTTTGTCTTCTTTTTCTTAGATAAATCTCTTTAACATTTCATATAATAAGGGCTTGGTGATAATGAACTCCTTTAACTTGACCTTATCTGGGAAACACTTTCCCTGCCCTTCCATTCTAAATGAAAGCTTTGCTGGATAGAGCAATCTTGGGTGTAGGTCCTTGCCTTTCATGACTGTGAATACTTCTTTCCAGCCCCTTCTTGCCTGTAAGGTCTCTTTTGAGAAATCAGCTGACAGTCTGATGGGAATTCCTTTGTAAGTAACTGTCTCCTTTTCTCTTGCTGTTTCCAGGATTGTCTCCTTCATTTTAATCTTGGCTAGTGTAATGATGATGTGCCTTGGTGTGTTCCTCCTTGGGTCCAACTTGTTTGGGACTCTCTGAGCTTCCTGGACTTTCTGGAAGTCTATTTCCTTTGCCAGACTGGGGAAGTTCACCTTTATTATTTGCTCAAATAACTTTTCCACTTGTTGCTCTTCCTCTTCTCCTTCTGGTACCCCTATAATTTGGATGTTGGAATGTTTAAAGATGTCCTGGAGGACATCTGATTTAAGTACTGGTTTTCCTCCCATCCTCACTGGTTCTCTGTACATTTTCCTTTATTTCACTTAGTGTAGCCTTCATTTTTCCATCTAATTTGTGACCAAATTCAACCAATTCTGGGAGCATCTTGATTACGAGTGTTTTGAACTGTGCATCTGTTAGGCTGGCTATCTCTTCATCACTTAGTTGTATTTTTTCTGGAGCTTTGATCTTTTCTTTCATTTGAGCCATTCTTTTTGTCTCCATGCACCTGTTACATAATGAGGGATGAGCCTTAGGTATATAACAGGGCGGGGCGATCCAGTTGCTGGGTTGTGACGCTGTATGTGGGGAAGGGGTCAGAGAGGGAACAATGGCACTTGCTCTGCTCTCTGCCAGATTTCAGTCACTTCCACTGCTTCCCCCAAGCAAATTGGGCCCTTCTGGTCCTGATTCCCATGTGGGTGGGTTTGTGTACATTCTAGGACCCTGTGGGTCTCTCCAATGAACTCTCCTGTGAGGCTGAGAGTGTCTCCTACTGCCTCAATGCCCATGGGTGTTTTCAATCAGTGGTTTGACGCTTTATTTCCCTGCACTGGGGCCCTGGGTTGTGCCCACCATCCCGCTCCCCAGTTGTTTCTCCTGGTTTATCTGCACTCAAATGTGAGACCGCCCAGTCTGCAATCTGCCACCTCACTGGGTCTGCCAGCCACTGCCTTGCCTCGAGTCCTCTCTGCCTGGCTGCCCATCTCTGCCCCTCTTACTGGTCTGGATGAGCATGTCTTTTTTAACTCCATGGTTGTTGGACTTCCTTACAGTTTGGTTTTCTGTTGGTTCTGGTTGCTTTTTGTTTTTAAATTGTTGTTGTCCTTCTTTTGGTTGTGCTGGGAGGCACAGTGTGTCTACCTATGCCTCCATCTTGGCCAAAAGTCTGTACCATCACTTTTTTTATGTACTTGTCTATTTATGGGTAACTTAGCTTGCTTCCATATCTTGGCTACTGCAAAAAATGCTGCAATGAACATAGGGGTGCATATCTCTTTTTGAATTAGTGTTTTGGGTTTCTTCAAATAAATATCCAGAAGTGGAATTGCTGGGTCATAAGATAGTTCCATTTTTAGCTTCTTTGAGGATCCTCCGTACTGTTTCCCATGGTAGCCGTGCCAATTTGCAATCTCACCAATAAGGCACAAGGGTTCCCTTTTTCCCCCATCATCAGCAAAACTTGTTGATTTATTGATGATAGCCATTCTGACAATTATGCTGTGATATCTTATTGTGCTTTTCATTTGCATTTCCCTGATGATTAGTGACATTGAGCATCTTTTCATATATCTATTGGGCATCTGTATGTCCTCTGAAGAAATGTCTATCAGATTCTCTGCCCATGTTTTAACTAGATTTTTGTGAGTGTCGAATTTTTAAAATAAATTTTGGATAATAATCTCTTATTGGATTTATCATTGACACCATAGCCATATTTTAATCATGAATTCAACCTGTGTTTGCCCCACTTTTGTAACCATTTTCTTGAATAGGAACAATGTAGACCAGTCAGAATTTCATCCTTTTTATTATGCTCAAGTCACCCTCATGTGTCTATTGTAGAATGCAAGAGTGAGAAAGCTGAGAATTAGGGAGGTGAAATAATATAAAATCTGGATGTCCATCCTTGGTATAAAAAGTTTTAAATCTTCTGTGAGGTGGAGTCTACCAGGCTTTTTCATAATTCAGCTCAAAGATGGTTCTGTGGTTGGGAGACTGGCCTCATAGGGATTCTTCACCAACTTAACACAGCGAAAAATCATCACTATTAGGAAAAGAAACAGAAGAACAACAAAGGCAATGGCAAAGCCTTTGTCTACATCAAAAGGGCTAGATAGGCTTGAATCATCCATGGGAATACACCTCTTGACCCTGTCCAGCTGTAGCTATTTCCGCAAGTATATCTTCAGTTTTGTCATATTCCTAGACAAGAGAGGATAAAACAGGGTTATTGGTTTGTGTGTGTGTGTATTTTCTTAATAACACTACATAGAAATCAAAGAAGTTTTGCAAAAACAATAAAATCAGGAACATTTATTGAAGAAGTGCTTATGAAACTAATAAAGTTAGTGTAGGTGAATTGCAATATATACATACACATAAAAGCATGAAATATTTGGAGACTTTTCCAAGGGAAAACATGAATAAATATGTATAATTCAGGAATCAGGAATCCCTTGCCCTGTAAGATCTGGGAAAATCTGTCCTGAACATCCCAATGTTAAGTCCAAATACTTCTCTAAGATTTTTTTCAAATTCTAAGAGTACTTATCATAACTAGTTTGTTGTAGAGTCTTAACTTACTATGTATGAGCACAAAATTGTTTTGTTTTTTTTTCCTAATTACTATAACTGTTCTCATTCCCAAGTCAATATACTTCAGGTACACCCCAGAAGTGATCAATTTCAGTTATTAAAACTTACCACCAAAATGATATTGATAACAACAATGTAAACCTTAGCTGGTATTGCTCAGTGGATTGAGGGCCTACAAACCAAAAAGATCACTGGTTCAATTCTTGGTCAGGGCACATACCTGGGTTGCAAGCTGGTCCCCAGCTGGAGGCATGTGAAAGGCAACAAATCAATGTTTCTCTCTCTTTCTCCCTCCCTTCCTCTCTCTCTAAAAATAAATAAATAAAATCTTTAAAAAGAAAAGAACAAAGTCAGAGGATTCCCATTTCCCAATTTCAAAACTCACTACAAAGCTACTAAGTTATTAAGAGAGTAGTACTGGCATAAGAATAGACATACAGATCAATGGAATAGAATTGATAATCCAGAAATAAACTCATGTATATTTTGTTAAGTGTTTCTTTTTAAATGATTATTCTTAGAGAAAGGGAAAGGGAGAGAGGAAAGAGAGGAGAGAGAGGAGAGAGAGGAAAGAGAGGAGAGAGAGGAGAGAGGAGAGAGGCGAGAGAGGGGAGAGAGGGAGAGAGAGAGAGAGAGAGAGAGAGAGAGAGAGAGAGAGAGAGAAGCAACAGTTGTTTAAGGGACTGGGCCTGCAACCCAGGCATGTGCCCTGACCAGGAATTGAACCAGTAACCTATCACTTTCCAGGATGATACCCAACCAACTGAGCTACACTGTCAGAGTTATTATCAACTGATTTTTGACAAGGGTGCCAACCGCCTCCAATGAGGAAAGAAAACAAATGGCACTGGTTCAATTGGATAGTTATATGCAAAAGAATAAAGTTGGTCCTTTACTTTACACAATATATTAAAAAAACTAACTCAAAGTAGATCAACAAGTTAAATGTAAGAGCAAGAACTGTAAAACTTCTAGAAGAAAACAAATGAGTAAATCTTCATAACCTTGGATCTTGCAGAGAATTTTTAGATATAATAAAAGAATAAGCAACAAAAGAAAAAAAAAAGGTAAATTGGACTTCACCACAATTTAAATCTTTTGTTTTAAACGGCACCATCAAAAAAGTGAAAAGATGGACTTCCAGTCAAGATGGCAGCACAGGCAGACATGGTTCGCTTCCTTCCACAACCACATTAAAATTACAACTAAAACATAGAACAATCATCATAGAATGGGAAGAAATAGAGTTGAATGGAAGTCTGACAACGACAGAATTAAAGAAACCACATTCATCGAGACTGGTGGGGGGTGTCAGAGAGGCAGAATGGGCTAGTCTCACACCACATGCGGTATATAAAAATTTGGGAGGGATATCTTGGGAGCGAGGAATCCCAGCTCCACAGCAGGCTCCTCAGCCCAGGGTTCCAGTGCCAGGAAGATAAGGCTCCACATATTCTGGCTGCAAAAACTAGCAGGGATTGAGTCTCTGGAAAAAACTGATGGACCCTCAAGCAGTTTCTCTTAGAAAACCCACACATGGACTCATGTACTCAGACTTGCTCTGTCTGAGCTCTAGCACCTAGGAGGTTGAAAGAAACCAGTGGTACATAGGGAGGAACCAAAGTTTCTAGCAACAAGGTGAGCAGAGGCCATTGTTCTTTTTCTGAACCCTCCTGCCACAGAGCTGGCAAGCTGGTGCTATATCTGAGACTCCATCACCTTAACACTGCCCCCCACTAGCACTGGAGATCCCTGGGACTCTGCCTCATGTTTCACAACTTCCCGAATCCTCTCAAACAAGCAAAAGCAGGCCTCAGTGAGCCCTAGGCCCAGCAGTAGCAGCAGCCAGCCTAGATTCACAGCTTAGCTTCACCTGGGAATCTCCAAGCCCAGTAAAAGTAGCAGTCATCTCAGATTGCTATACAGCTCATGCAGGGTGGCCCAGGTCAAAACACAGGTGGGGCTTAACATTGCCTTGCACTACCCAGGAAACCTTAAAGCCTGAGTACCCAGTGAGCAGCTATAGACCACATCAGAATACCACTACCTTGCCCCTGAACAGCTGATCCTTCATGGAGGGTACAGTGTGGTGGTCAGTGGTCACAGCCAGTCCTTACAGTTGACTGGCCTGGGTAAATCTCTCTCATTCACTTGCCAACAACAATCAAGGCTCAACTACAAGCAGAAGGTATACTCAACCAATACAAAGGGTGCACCTCGAGTGCCCAGCTTGGGTGATAAGGGAAGTTGTACCACTGGGACTCTACAGGACACCAACTACATTAGGTCACACTACCAAGATACCAAGTCAAAGAAGCTCTATCTAATACATAGAAACAAACATAGGGAGGCTGCCAAAATGAAGAGAAAGAAAATATGGCCCAATGAAAGAGCAAATCAAAACTCCAGAAAAAGAGCCAAAGGAAGTGGAGATAAACAATCTGTCAGATGCAGAGGTCAAAACACTGGTGATAAGGTTTCTCAAAGAACTTAGTGAGGACCTCAACTGCATTAAAAAGATCCAGTCAGAAACAAAGGATACACTAACTGAAATTAAAAAAAAAAATTTACAGGGAAACAACAGTAGAGTGAATAAAGCTGAGAATCAAATCAATGATTTGGAACATAAGGAAGCAAACAACAACAAACAAACAAACAAACAAACAAGAAAAAATACTCCAAAAAATGAGGAGAGTATAAGCAGCCTCTGGGATAACTTTAAGTGGTCCAACATTTACATCACAAGTGTGCCAGGAGGAGAAGAGAAAGAGCAAAAAATTGGAAATCTATTTGAAAGAATAATGAAAGAAAACTTCCCTAATTTGGTGAAGGAAATAGACATGCAAGTCCAAACAAGGTGGACAGAGTCCCAAACAAGTTGGATGCAAAGAGGCCCACTCCAAGACACATCATAATTAAAATAACAAAGATTAAAGATAAAGAGAGAATCTTAAAAGCAGCAAGAAAAAAGCAGTTAGTTACCTACACAGGCATCCTCATAAGAGTGTCAGCTGATTTCTCAAAAGAAACTTTGCAGGCTAGAATGGACTGGCAAGAACTATTTAAAGCCATGAAAAGCAGGGAACTACGATTGCTCTACCTACCAAATATATCATTTGGAATTGACAGGCAGATAGAGCATCCCAGATGAGAAAAAACTAAAGGAGTTCATCATTACCAAACCATTAGTATATGAAATGTTAAAGGGACTTTTTAAGAAAAAGAAGATCAAAACTACAAACAATAAAATGGCAATAAATACATATCTATCAATAATTGAATCTAAAAATCAAACTAAGCAAACAAGAAGAACAGAGACAGAATCATGGATACAGAGAGTGTTTTGGTGGTTGACAGATGGGAGTGGGGAGTGGGGGAATGGGTGAAAAGGTGAAAGGATTAAGAAATACAAATAGATAGTTACAGAATAGCCATGGGTATGTAAAGTACAGTATAGGAAATGGAATAACCAAAGAACTTATACACATGACCCATGGACATGAACAATGGTGTGGGGATTGCTTGAGGGAGTGGGGGTGCTGGGTGGAGGGAGTTAAAGGGGGAAAACTCAGGACAAATGTAATAGTATAATCAATAAAATGTTAAAATAAAAAATGAAATTGGAAAAAAGTGAAAAGACAACTCACAGAATGGGAGAAAAAATTTGCAAATCATGTAACTGACAAGGTACTTGTATTTAGAATAGATAAAGAATTTTTACAACTAATAATAATAAGACAACCCAATTAAAAATTGAGCAGAGGATCAGAATAGACATTTCTCTAAGACAAGATATACACATACAGATGACCAATCAGCACATGAAAAGATGCCCAACATCATTAGTCATAAGAAGTTACTAATCAACAGGCATAAAGCTTCAGTAATGCAAGATGAAGATACTCTGGAGATCTGCTGTATGACATTGTACCTACAGTCAATGATAATATATTGTACACTCAAAAATTTAAGAGGGTAGATCCCATGTTAAATGTTCTTATCATAATAAAATAAATTAAAAAAAAAGAAAGGAAGAAAAGAGGTTGGCTGAAGAGGTCTAAGGCCACAAAGAAAAAGGCAGACTTGCAATAGAATTGATTGAAGAAAATTTTTCTTTCCTGAGGTCCAGATGTGGACCTCACAGATAGGGACCAGCCAGAGTGGAGGGCACATAACAAAGGATGTAGGCCAAGAGGGCTTCCTGCTAGGAAGAACTTACCTTAACAGAATGTGGCTGGACATGAACTTGGATTCAGCATTATGAAGACCTGCCAGAGGAGAAACACTGACTCTGAGGTATCTGAAATTAGACAACCCTAGTGAGGGAATTGCTGAGGAAACCATAAGAAGCACATCATGAGCCCTTGCTAGTGTGGCTCAGTTGGTTGGAGTGTCAGCCCTGTAAAACAAAAGATCATGCGTTCGATTCCCAGTCAGGGCACATGCCTAGATTGCAGGTTTGGTCCTGGTTAAAACATGTGCGAGAGACAACTGATTGGTGATTCTCTCCCTCTCTCTCTCTCCCTTTCCCTGTCTCTAAAACCAATAAGCATGTCCTCTAGTGAGGATTAAAACAAACAAACAAACAAACAAACAAACAAAGCACA